CAGCAGTACACGTTTCATTTCGACGGTGGGTTCCCGGGCGGCGGCTTCCCAGGGGGTGGAGGTTTTCAGTTCAACTTCGGATAAACTGTGCCATGTACGATGACATTTTCTTCAGTTCCACTGGAATTGCTTTAGGAATTCCTAACAGCAGCTGGTAGCTATTCTTAGGCAGGCTGAGAGACTGTTCTTATATATTACAATAACAAGTGTTTTTGGGCAGCTACAATTTTTCCTTCATCATTTGCTTCCTGCTTACTCTCTCTCTCTCTCTCTCTCTCTCTCTGTTTTTGGGCAGCTACAATTTTTCCTTCATCATTTGCTTCCTGCTTACTCTCTCTCTCTCTCTCTCTCTCTCTTTCTCTGATACATCAGTTGAATGGAAGAATGGAAATAAAGATACGTTTTTTTTTGGCTGTAGGATGTCTTTTGCATTGGTGAACTGCACAAAACACCACATTTCGGAGCCATTTTGTCGCATTGCACCACGTTTAAGTACTTATTACATATATTATGTTAAGGTTGCCCAGATTAGAGCCACGCGAGAGCAGTTTGTGCCACGAGGGGTTACCACAAGCTAAGTGTGTTACTGTGTCATCGTCGAGGAGTGCCCTGGCACAAAAAAAAAAAAAAGTTTATAGAGCCTGTTCGCTGGTTGGTTTCTGGGCTGATAAGTTCGGCTGGTGCTGTTTTGTTGTGAGAGAAAAACACTGTTGGCTGGTTGAAACCAACAAACGAACAGACTGCATAATGCATCTAGCTAATGAGGATGGACCGAGCTTCGCATCGCAAAGATGATAAAAATGTCTTGGTTCCCAGATTTATTACCCAACTAGCACTACAGTAAACGCGTGCTAAGAAGGCTTTGCACTCGGTAAAACCTTTGCCGAGTGCTGCACTCGGCAAATAGTTGTCGGCATATCCCTTCACGGTAAAGGCTTTTTTACCGAGTGCTTTTTGTTAGGCACTCGGCAAAGCCAAGTGCCAGAAAATCACTCGGCAAAGATTTACACTCGGCAAAATGAAAATGCGAAAAAATCCAAAAATAATAGCAAAATTTTTCATTTTTTTTTCGGGTGAGGCCGCCACCAGCCAGCGCCCGCCTGTCTTCATCGAAGTCGGTGCATTTTTTGCGCTAAATTCGTGGCTAACGTGCGGCCGGCTGGATTCAAACTCACAACCTCTCCCTCGCGTGTCTGCTGCTCTACCACTGCATTACACTGTCACTTGTGTCTAGACTCCGTTATCTATCCTCATATATATACTAAACCAAGAATAAATTACTTGTTTGAGGCCTTAAACGAATTCAAATAAAAAAGTGGTCAACTATAAAGTTTCATAACTTTTCGAGATCTACAATTTTCATTTAGGAAGTTTTTCCATCCGAGATCGTTTGAAAAATTCGAATTTCAAATTTGAGAGATTCAAACGTAGTTTTGCATGATAAGATGATTTCAAATCTAAAAGTTGTCAACTACATAGTTTCATAACTTTTGGAGATCTACAATTTTCATTTAGGAAGTTTTTCCATCCGAGGTCTTTTGAAAAATTCAAATTTTAAAATTTTCAAATTCAAACGTCGTTTTTGCATGACAAGATGATTTCAAATCAAAATGTTGCCAACTACAAAATTTCATAACTTCTCAAGATCTACAAAGTTTATTTTGGTCATTTGTTCATCCGACATAGTGGTAGTAACATTGTTCATAAATCTTATATATCTCTCTTTTACTTTCATGAAACTAATATGAGAGATGTAGATTTTATGAACAACGTTATTGTCGCTTTGTCAAATGAAGAAATGACCTAAATAAACTTTGTAGATCTTGAGAAGTTATACAACTTTGTAATTGAAAAGTTTTTCATTTGAATTCATTTAGGGCCTCAAAAATTGCTTTGAAAAACTGATTTGCCGAGGGCCAAAAAAATGCACATGGCAAAATGCCTCTTTGCCGAGTGCCAAAACAAAGGCACTCGGCAAAATACATCTTTGCCGAGTGCCAGAAAAAAGGCACTCGGCAAAGACGCATTTTGCCGTGTGCCGAAAAATAGCACTCGGCAAAATACATCTTTGCCGAGTGCCAGAAAAAGGCACTCGACAAAGACGTATTTTGCCGTGTGCCGAAAAATAACACTCGGCAAAATACATCTTTGCCGAGTGCCAGAAAAAAGACACTCGGCAAAGACGTATTTTATCCAATGTTTTTTTTTGCCGAGCGTATTTTATTTGGCATTCGGCAAAGACCGTCTTTACCGAGTGTCCGATAAAATACACTCGGCAAAGCCTCCGGCACTCGGCAAAGTGCCGGTTTCCGATAGTGTAGGTCTGATGTGGTGGGGGCGGTAGTAGAGAGGCGTAGGTTGAGTCGAAGAGGATATTATCGTACGTTGGAGAATGAAGATGATCTTGCATGTCTAGCTCGTTGTACCTAGGCCGTGTAACAACCGCGGAGCACGGTGAGGGTATCTATTGTCCCCGCTGACGCATCTCACATACTAGAGACGAGTTTTGCATCTAGCTAACATGTGGGTCGTCCCGTGTTTTTTTTCCTCTCTATGTTTATTTAATGAGCTTTTTTATTGTGGTTGGGTACTTCTTGGTTCCTCTAGGTTCCTAGCAAGTCTGGATAGTATAGTAATTAAGCATTAATCCATACTAGAACTCGTAGCTGCATTTATTATAAACTAATGCATGAGACCTCAAATCCAGTTGACTGTAGGTCACCTCAAGGCCACGCAAGCATTAAACTTTAGCACATGTTTTAAATTGCAAGTTAATTACCTCTCAATATATATACTTGTTAATTTTCAGAACCATAGCATACAAGAGATGATCTTTTGTCGTGGGGACCCAGGCAAGTCATGTAGATAATACATTGATTTTTGATAAATAAACTCATTTGTGAAAACACTTGCATCAAAATCTATTTTTTAAATAAACTGAATGAACATGATGAATACGATGGATAATGATTAATAGATGATAATTGAATATTCGACGTAGAGAGAGTTCATGGATTGCGATGATGAATTAGGGTTGGTCGAGCTCTCTCTACATACGACTACGAACATAAGTACTATCCCCTCACTTATTATGTGTGTTGTATGAAACTGTGTCTGCCGTGAACTCTTTTAGGACTGGCCGAGTTCGGTACCCATGAAAGTTGTTATATACTCCCTATGGTATGTGCGGAGAGGTTTGGGTGATGAAATCCCCATTCACGTGTCGATGAAGTACACCCAGGCGCATATATTAGCGCGCGTGGATAGATGTGGATGTATACAATATATGGAAGTGGGAAAAGTTTGATATCTTGACCATGAGTCGCACCAAAGGAAGTGTGATGAAAAATTGGTCAGGGTAATCATGGGTAAAGTGATACAAACCTGTGCAGGGTTAAATCGTGAATTCAGGTCATGTCTCCTGCAATGGAGGCTGCGCCTATTGGAGGCTCTATCTCACTATATGGGTGATAATAGATTTCTTAACTTATTTTCTAAAATATGCAACTTTTGATAAACGATATATGAATGAGAATGGATATGACAAATGGTTAGGCCTGCATTTTATTGATTTATTATATGCTTGCTGAGTACTTTGTATTCACTCTTGCTATTAACCCTCCCCTTTCATATGAAAAGAGATAACCTATGATGATGACATATGCCAAGCACATGACCTAAAGGAAGTCACATGTGAAATACATGATACAAATAAATTTCGAGTATAATATGGAGGTGTCACTGTTATTTTTGTACTAGGTAATGTTCATTATTTTTATTTTTGTTAAATGTAACAAACTGTGTAAGGTCCTAACTATTATTCTGTTGCAACACTTTGATTAGGGTCATTACTCGAGAAAGTATTACTTTGTCGGGTAATAATCCATAAGCCAACATTTTTACCTTGGTAGTGAAAATGCGGGGCGTTACTAAGGCCAAAAAACCACTCCAGCAGGCTACCTATCTGACCTAATTTTGTTGGCCCAACAAATTTCTCTTCTCACTACATATATACTTCTGTTGGGCCAACAAAAGTGACTACCCAAATTTTTACCTTCCACCTGATGCTCGGTCACGCACAGGAGCCCGACGCCGCCACCCACAGAAGCCTCCCCGGCGGTCCCCAGTGAGGGCGCGTTTCCTTCCCCGTCTTCAGTGACTCCTCGGCTTTCTTCCCAATAGTCACGGATTCCTGGCGCAGCACGCCCCTCCCCGACGCTGGTCCCCGCCTTGTCCCCAACAGCCACTCGCCTCCTCCCCACCGGCCGCATGCCTCCTCCAAGCCGAACGGCTGGCATGGCGCGCCTCCTCACCGCCGGCCCTCCTCCGCCCCGGCGCGACCTCCCCGCGGCGATGGCGCACGGCGGCATCTCCTCGCCGGCGTAGAGAACAAGAGAGATAGGATGACATCACGGCCCCATATGTCATTCACTCCGCAAATGAATTTAGGCAGTCTGGTTTAGGTAGTGCTGCTGGAGTTGAAGGCAAAAAATGAGTATAATATAAAAATAGGTGGCTATCCAAACAGACATTTAGATAGTGTGTTTTGAGTAGTACCGCTGGAGTTGCTATTAGGTTGGAATTTCTCGTTTGCAACAGTTGATGCTTATGCTTCATCAACTAAACGCTATTTGTTTCAGGTCCATGTGATCTCTTTGGTGTTAAATAAGCTGTACCTACCTGTATATACTTAGAACTTTGGAGAAGCCAGCATGATCATGGAGTAGCCAAAGGATCCCAATTGCAGTCGCATAAACGAAACAAGTATGGAAGGGAAGGGAGTACAAGGAATGAAGGAAAAACAAAATACACCCCAATTGCAGTCGCAGCATGATCATGTAGTAGCCAAAGGATCCCAATTGCAGTCGCATAAACGAAACAAGTATGGAAGGGAAGGGAGTACAAGGAATGAAGGAAAAACAAAATACACTTGGCAGAGGAGAAAGGAGGGGAAATGCATGCAGCAACAAGCAGCAGTAACATGCACAACGGATCACAGATTAATGGTGGTGTCCCTTGGCTTTTGCTGCTGCGGCGGCCATGAGCGAGTAGGCGAGCTGTCCCGTCTGGCGTTGCACCTCCTCCCTGACCATCTGGCGCACCACTGCCAACAGCTGCGCGTTTCCTTCTCCTTCCTGCGATAGCGTCACCGGCGATGCTTGGCCGTGGCCCTGCTGGCTGTTGCGGCTTTCCTCGTCAGCCGCGGCTCCTGGTTCTGCTGCTGGCAGCGGCAGGCCAAGGCTCAGGGACAGAGACGGCTCGGGCTCGGCGGTAGCGGACCCTGCAGGCTGAACACTGCTGTTGCCGCCCCCTAAACCACCAGCAACCACAGCCACTGGCTGCTGCGGACTATGATGATGTTCAGGTTCAGCAGCAGCAGGAACGACGTCGTCGCTTTCCTGCACCTGCTGAGGGCCGATCGCGATGCACGGGCCAGCAGCAGCTCGGGAGGCCGCCGCCGCCGCCGCCGCTCGGCGCCTGCACCTCCGGAGGTTGGAGTTCCAGTGGTTCTTGATGGAGTTGTCGGTGCGGCCGGGAAGGAGGCGCGCGATGGTGGCCCACTTGTTGCCGTAGCGGGCGTGGGCGGCGAGGATGAGCGCGTCCTCGTGCGGCGTGAAAGGGCGGTGGTGCACGTCGGGGCTGAGCTGGTTGCACCAGCGGAGGCGGCAGGACTTGCCGGAGCGGCCGGGGATGGCGGCGCTGATGAGGCTCCAGCGGTGGGCCCCGTGCTGCTCCACCAGCCTGGTCAGCAGGGCGTCCTCCTCGGGGCTCCACGACCCCTTCTTCACCTCTGCAGCAACACTACTGCTAGCAGGAGCAGGGTTCTTCATCTTCATCGATCGTCCCGGTACTACGTCCGAACCGCCGGCGGCCTGCCCGATCGTTCGATCGAGGAAGGAACTGCACCTGCACCTGTGGCACTGCACGACCGTCGCCCGTCGTATGTATATGCAACGTTACGTGCGCTTTTCAATCGGAGAAGGAATAGTGTACAGTACATGTGTGCCATATATGCCATGTCATGTGTGTGCACACACGGTCTGTTGCACGCTTCCATGTCTGCATGCAACCTTTCAATGAACCAGCCAGCTGCATGTTGGCACCCTTTCACTTTGTTTGTTGCATGGAATGGATGCATGCCTAGCTTTCCATGTCTGAGCTTGCACTGTGATGAACTGATATACATGATCTACTAGACTAGTATCATGCAAGTCAAGGCGTGTACGTGAGGGCATTTTGTACGTACCCGCTACAGCTGGGGGCTCGCATACGTGGACGGGTAGCCACGCAAAACATGCTGTGCTAGCTGTGCCTGTGCTAGCCATCTGTCCGGGCCAGGCCATGCACACGCCAAGCAGCCAGCCTGCCTTAATTTCTTCGATCCGTCGTCGGGATGGAGATGAACTCATCCATCACAAGAAAACAGCAGCAGGGAGAGGGGATTGATCGGAGATGATGCGCATGCCAAGCGGAAAAGTCCGTCGTTTTAATTTGTTTTATTTATTATACGTTTCCTTTGTTTATTCGACACGTGGACCAAAAGAATCGAATCGAGACCATCTCACACGTCTCCCTAGATCGAACATACTCGCTCCCTCTCTCTCTTTGACATCAAGCACCAAAACCTAAGGGTCGGACGGTGGGACAGGAGCAGTCGAGTCAGGCGCTGAGGTGCGGTGAGAGATCTGGAACTGAGTTGCATCATCCGCTGACCCTGAACTCTGAGCGGTCTGACCCTCTGTAGCTGGAAGTGAAGGTAAAGCGGTCTGGGTCTGCTCAGTAGCTGGCACGGCCTGTGACTCTGGAGGTGTCACTGTAGGAAGTGGAGCCACAACTGCTGCTGTCGCTGTCGCTGAAACCTCAAGTGTAGGAGTGACTGTCTGAGGTGGCTCGGATGATGCAACAGACGACGGAATCATCTCTGTAGTCCCGGTAACTGGAGCAGCTGTGGTAGAGACAGGGACTCATAACTCTGGAGGTGTAGGCTGCCCTGTAAGCTTACTAAAGGTAGCACCGAGACTCCTGTAGACTGGGGTGTCTGTCACTAACACAGAAGAACTCTGAGTCGGAGTGAAGCCCGTAACAATAGGAGTAAAGTGAGGACCCTGAGCTATCACTAGTGAAGCAAACCACTGGGACACCTGCTCTGTAGGTGAAGCAAACTGAGCAGCTGGTTGTTCCTGACTCTGAAGCCCACTGGGTTCTACAGCCTATCTAAGGTGTAGACTGCTGAGGAGCAACCCCAATAGCAGTGAATACATGCTGCATGAAACCAAGTAACTGCTGCTGAATTATTAGCTGCTGCTGCATGGCCTGCTGCTGCCTCTAAAACTCATCCTGTCGAGCCTGAACCTGAGCAAGTGCAACTGCGGTCTCCTATGCTTAGCGGGCCTAGTCCTGTCTCATCCGCTCAAGTATAGCGAGAAGTGCTGGGTCAGTTTGCGGCGGTTGTGGTGGAGCTGAGCTGGAGCCACTGGCCTCCCTATCGTGTGGTCGAGGATCCATCTGTGGAATCGGCTGATAGTCATCATCTGAGCTCTCACTCGGGTCACTCTCGACCTCATCCTCCTGCCGTGCATCAAGCTGCTGCTCCTCTATCGCTGCAATGCCCCTGATGATCTCATCCTGCTGAGTTGCTGTCTCAGGTACCTCTGGGCGACGGCTCGGCTGGTGAGGAGTCCTCGCACGACTGTGACGTAGCATCTGGGTCATGTCATACGATGGAAACTCAGTAGTAGCACATGTCCACTCTGCCATAGTCTTTGGGGACTTATGTGTAACTGCCTTTCGGAGTAGGAAAGTGATCCAATAAGCATAAGGCAGCTGACGGTGACCTCCGAAGCCCTCTGCTAGTGTGTCCTCCATCTCTGAAAGCATCACATCTCAAATATCAAAGACAGTCTGAGACACTAGGTGATACACTAGCCATAACTGAATATGAGTCAGGCCCTCGCGGTAGCCCATCCTCGGGAGCAGAGTCCTCCTCATAATAGCATCAAGGAGCCAAGTTGTAGGTGTAAGGTCACGTGGTGTCCTGCTCAACCCCTCGCCAAACGGCTCTGTGAAGCATGGTCTAACAAGATCTGTAGGTGGCACAAGTCCACCGTGAGGGTGTCTCGGAGGCTCTGTCTGTCCATAGCAGACCTCGTGAAGACGAATAGGTGACTCAGGAATCCTCAGTATCTCTCTGACCCTCGAGCTCTGGAGCCTGTAGTCACGGCCTCTGAAAGCAAAGTGAATAAACCTATGCATTAGGTCAATCCATAGAGAGAAGTAGAACTCACGGACCCATGATGGAACATAGCAACTAGTCTGTCCAAGAAGATCTATCAAGCTTGGCAGATAAGAAAGGTGAGGACGGATCGGCTCGCCTGCAGCTGTAACTAGAGACTCTATGGAGCAGAACCCGCTGAGATCTGAAAGCAACACCGCTGTTGAGATAATCTTGATAGAAATCCTCATGTAGCACAATGTAGAAGTGCTCTGACGCACGCTCATCCCGCCTCGGTGGAAACCAATCCTCAAACTGTACAAACCGTAACTGCTGCACCTGTCTGGCTGTGGCTGCCCTCAGGTCAAGGTGAACCACGGGAGGTGGACCCTGTGGTCTAGGAGGTGGACAAGAGCCTTGCCTCTATGTCTGAGGCCTCAGTGACACCTGAGTATGTGTATGACTAGAGCATCAAAGCTGTGGCTGTGCTGCCTGCTCTGCCTCCTCAACCTGCTCTCCCTACTGAGCATCCTTTGTCTGCTCTGCCGACTGTGTCTGCTGCTCAGTCACCCCCTGAGTCTGACTCTCATCTAAAGAGACACGCCATCCTCCAAGCATGACGGTCCCTGGTGGACTACCAAGACTAGTCTCAATCCTCTCGACGGTGGCCCTCTGAGCCAGTGACAACTGGTCACCTATGCGAATGCCACTGCTAGATCCACCTCTCTCTACACGCTCTACGGCGGCTGCCACTACTGCTGCTCTCTCTGCCTCAACATCATCTAACTTGCGCTTCTTCTTTGTAGTCTTCTTCGCCTTTCATTTTTGCTGACCAGTCAGGCGAGGCGGAGGCCTTGGATCCTCATCAACGAGACCACCTCCGGCATTCTTGCAACGTGCCATCTCTGAAGCTGACGAGAATCACTGCCACTGACAAGAAACGACTGTCATCTGACACTCATGAGGCTTGGCCTCAATCCATACTCGCGGGCTTGGCCCCGAGTAAAACTGCCACTGTCAAATCAACCTCAAGAGCACCGACTCGCTGCACGATGGAATAGATAGGAAATATAAATAATCACTATATTCATCTAGAGGTGAGAAACCCTAAGAAGCAAATAGTAGATGAGAAATTAAAATCGATGGCTTGCTACCTGATGAAATCCGACGATCCGGCGACCGACAAGCAAGGGAGAGGATCACGGGGCACCACTCGGGATCGGCAAGGTTATGCCTAGGGCTAGGGTTTGGTGTCACAAAGTAGTGCGGTGGCCGAGGAGACACGACAATGCGGTGGTGCATGAGCACACAGTAGCGCGATGCAGGCGACGCGGGTGCACTAACTGCGCGACGGCGGCGGCGCGTGGAGGCACAGGCATGGGCACGATGGCCGAAGATGCAGAGGCAACGCGGTTAAGGCAGGGGCAGCAGCGGTGCGGGCTCGGCGGTGGAGGCGCAGGCGCGGTGGTGGCGTGGGCGTGGCGGTGGAGGCGCAGGCACGGGTGCGGCGGCAGAGGCGTAGGCGTGGGCACGGTGGCCTGGTACGCGTGCAGTGGCACGGTGGCGTGGGTAGGCGGAGCAGAGCTATGCGGCGGCGGAGGCGGGTTAGGGCACGATGGTGCGATGACCTAAAAACTATTTATGGTGGCCCCTGAATGACAGAGAAGAAAAGGAATTAGAGATCCACTCGGATTCAACTGACCGGACGCACCGGTGGCAACGACCAGACGCTGCCACTCGGAGTCCGGTCGACAACAGAGAGGTCCAAAACCCCTCAAGTCATGACCGGACGTGTCTGGTGCCTCATGATCGGACGCACAATAGAGTTCGGTCGATACTGACATCTTCTTCTTTGTTTGACCGGACGTAGGGCCATCTTAACACCGGACGCTGGAGGAACACTGTTCAACATCCGGTCACTTCTGTGCTGCATCTATTCACCTCCTCTGAACTAACCGAACGCTGGAAGCAGAGTCTGGTGCAGCGTCCGGTCACCATTTTTCAGCAAATCTTCAAAGTTTCTTCGCACTGCTTTTTCCCAATCAAGTCCCAACTTCAATAAGACATAAATAAACACCAATTGTGACTGATGTGAGAGACCTCTCTCAAGCCCTTAAAATTTTCAAATTATTTTGCCTTAGGCTATAATTCTTTTTAAGAAAATATGCAATAAAAGGGGCGATGAGCAACATGTGGCCACACAATAGGGTTTAGAATCAATAGAAGCTTCAAATGCTCTCCCTATTTGTAGACAAACACAGCGGGTGCTAAAAAAATAACCAAAAAGAAACGACAAAGCAACACACATGCACATGCAATGCAATACTTGAAAGTAAGTCTAGTTGTTTGTCAAGTTTGATCCAAGGTTAAGCTTCTTCACACACTTTTCGGCGGTTATCTTAACCATGCTAGACAAGACCTAAGTGCATTACTAAAAATTAAACATGTTTTATAATACAATGCAATGCAAGAGACAATACAAGCTCATTTTTTAGTGAAGTTACTAAAGTAAAGCACATTGAGCTCATTCCTCAACCGACAAAATGTTGCCTCATCTAGCGGTTTAGTGAAGATATCCACCAATTGATTGTCGATCCTTACACCTTCTAGTGATATGTCATTTTT